GTCGGCTTCTTGAATATGGTGGCATCTGTGCATGAGCCATAAATGAAGAGAAAGTTCTCCCTTTTCAAAGTAACCAGTAATTTAGCCTGTGAAAGAAGTGTGGTACATGTACATGTTCCTCCACAATTTTCCACCAGAGCCTGACTTTCTTGGCAGTCCACACAAACCCTGTGTCTCGCATTTTTTAAACCACTAATTTAAATAAAAACTTCCTGACCCTAATGGTACTTGTGCTATGTGGATTTAAGTATTTTCCTATTTATGCTGCTATGTAGCATCTGTGCTATCATTTTACATGCAGACCCGGCGGCAGCAAAACAACACCTACAAGTCTGGTAAAACCATTACATATGGCTGTGCACCGCCCCTGCACCCAACACAGCAGCTCTGCTTCCTGTCATGTGCAACAAGCCTGAACCGCAGCGCTACAAGTCAGAGGTGACAGGCTCGGCAGCACGCACTGCCTCCACTGCAACGGTGATCACGTTACAGACAGAAGGAGGGAGTAAGAGGAAGCAAGTTGTGAAGGAGCAAGTTCTGCTTTTACTGAAGAAGCTTTGCAGCCACAGGCGGTGTCACTGATTGAGAAACAGAGAGGCACAAAGAGAGCTGAAAACAATCAAAGGGATGTAGCGCAACACTTGGGTGTAGCTTGAAAGCAGTCGAGGCTCTTTAAACTGTTGCCACCTCCAATTAGGACACACACTCACTTCTCTCAGCTATCAGTGAGCTACATTCACTGAGTACAAAGCACAACTCCCAGCCCGCCTCCATAGGACTACAATGATGACGATGATGTTGGGCAGCATGCATTTCCAGATGTCTGTGTCCCATTATGGTTCTGCAGATGTAAGGCACTCGCGACTCCAACGTGACCGAGTGGATTTCATTACTTTTAAGAGGGGAGCTTACACAGTATATACACACACTGACATTAGAGTCACATACAGCATAAAGCAGCTCCACTGTCCCACAGCTGACCCCACTAAGTGCTCCAATCTGTGTGTAAGTGAGACGCACAGACATACGTCTGCTTAATCTTTCTCTTACTTCCTGTCTCTTTAAAAAAACAAACAAACAACGACTTGATCTTTAATCTTTACTTAATCTAGAAAAAAGCATATCTGTTCTTAGTTACACCTGTCTCTGTTCTCTGTTTTCTCCGTAATGTCATGGGTTACAGGATATCTATAGAATTTATTAATAAATGAATCTATTTATTTATAGATTTCTGTATCGATTGTCTACAGAATATCTGACAACAATCCATGGAAACAAGATGCACTCAGGCATCTTGTTTTATTTAGATACCCTGATTATGACAAAGCTATATTTAAAATACCAATATGACTCATATCACATGCCAGTACCAATTCTTTTGTTTTTTGTACAGTATTTCCCACACATAAAAACTTGCTAACGATTAAACTTGGACAAGCATAATTAGGAACAACTTTTAGGGATTTATTCCTCCTTTTTTTAGCCATCGATTTATTTTGAAAGTTTAGTCACTGCCAATCAGCTAGGCCCGACTCCTCCCACTTTGTGTTTTCACTTATGACTGGTTCTCCAGTCTGACGGCTTTTGCGGCAGTGCTCGGTATCATTTAGCCACTTTCCCACAGAGTCTATCACCCTGCAGTCAAATGGAGGCTAATTGCCAGCTGGCAATGGAAGTCTTTCTTTTGCTCCAGAGATCTGCTGGGAGCTGGCGTGCTGCTCTAACCTGCAGTCCGTGGGGAGCTAGCGGATATGCAGCAATGCTCCTATTGGGACTACCATCAGATGCACTCCAAGACCCTTAGAATGGGATCCATCTGAAGGATGATGCTCAGCTATTAATTTTCAATTTGACCAATCAAATATCTCTTTTTACGAGGGAAAAAAAATTCCATTTATAAAATAGATTTT